CCCACTCTGTCTCTGGTGAATCCTCTCACCACCCTGAACCTCTGGCCTGTATCCCAGTTCTGTATGTATAAATAAATAAATCTTTAAAAAAAAAAATTAAAAAAAGTGTTATTCACTCTCATGTAACCTACAACAGAACAAGGACCTTAACTGTTTTTATGAACAAGATGGTAAGCTCCTAAATCATGCATGGCAAAAAGTCATTGCTCAGTAAACATTTATTGAATGAGTGAGTGAATGAATGAGGGAATTCTTGTAGGAGAATATAGAGGGGCAAAAATAGAAGCAAGTAGACAAGATTTATAGGGAAAATACACTTAGATCTGACTGAAACATAAATTGAAACCCTATGAAATTTTAAGTATGATCTCTAGATTGTTGTTTAAATATGGTAATACTCTGATGTTCTGAAAAATCTAATTACTAAGATGAAGTAACAAACTAATATTCTAAAGTTCTAATTCAGAAAGATAATGGAAATAGCTAGAAAGCAATTTAACTGTTGTCCTAATTAATTCCTATTTCTACTGACCTGTGGGCAACATGTGGAATCAGAATAAACAGAGGAAATGATTGTTTCAACAAATGAATTAAATAAACTGTACTGAGTAATCCCAAATGAAAGTGTAAAAATGTGCTTTCAAGTAGAGTGATGTTGAAGTGAATCAGATGGGAGTGTTATGGCACAGCTAGAAATGCTGAGTATTAATAGAGACAGTGAGGAAATTAAGGAAAAATATTTACAAGTGCAAAGCATGTTAATATTTGGGGTATTATCTGAGTCATATCTACTCTGTATATCTGATCTAGCCTTGCATTTATTTTTGTTGATGTTTGCCATCCTGAGCTACATCATAGACCCTTGAAATCATTAATTTGTAAAGTTACTGCTATTGAATGGACCAGGCAGTTAGTGATCTAGTCTTTCTTCAGATGGGTAAAGGAATGGTAGGATCTTAAAATAATCACCCAGAGCAGACTATGGGGCTCTGAGGCCAGACAGAGGTGGTGTTCCAAGCACCCTGATGCCTGTGAGAACTATGCTCTTGGGTGACGGCCAAGTGGATGAAACTTGACCCTTGAAAGACCAAAGTGCTGAGAGGCAAAGAAAGGGATTTTGAAAAACTGGCCAAGAACATGACAGCCTCTGAGATCAAAGACATAGTCTAGGTGGTATGTGCCCTGAGTGTTAATGGATTCTTCGTTGCTTCTTCTGCCTCCACTTTTGTTTGCCAGAATCTGACTTTGTCCTTCTTGAACACAGCAGACTGTGTACCCTTTTTTGGAATCTTAAGCCCTGGCTAATCTTGATTAAGCTTCAGCGAACCCTTATCTAATACTGACAAAAAAAGATTTTCTTCGGTTTAAGCTGATACTTAATGTGCTCCTCTCCCTCCCGAGGGAACAAAATAGCTATGGTCCTGAGCACCTGCTGTGCACTAAACACCACACTGGTCACTTTAAATGCCTTAGCTCATCAGTGCTTTTGTACGACCCAGTGAAGTTCTTATTTATATCCATTTTCAGAAATGAAAATAGATTCAGAGTATTGGTGACATGCCCCGAGCCACACAGAATTCAGATTTCTGACTTAGTTGGTGAGTTATAATCGCAGCATTGCTTTATTGAAAGTGTACTGTCCAAAAGTGTCAATAAATGAAGCTTGTCC